TGGCTGGCTTTTTGGTTGCTGGCAATGCCTTGCGCTCATTGCCAGTGTTGGTAACAACAAAATGCCCTGAAAGCTGGCGCTCTCGCTGGGTTTTTGTTTTGGGGGTGGGCGGGCGTCGTTTGGGGAGGCAAACACAAACAAGTTTACTTTGCTCTGCTTTTGCTTTTCATTCAGTTTTCATAACTCAGATGTGTTCGTCGCGGTCGCGCGTGCAAAATCTGAAATCGAAATACGATTACTAACTGATTTTGAAAAGGAATAATAAATCAGAAATCCAACGTACCACATACGGGGTTTATCAATAAAATAAAAATACAAAAAAGAAATAAGTGATTAGAAGATTAAACATAGTGTGGAACCTGTGAAGTGAAGTGTGAAAATGTTGATCTTGTGATGGGAAAGGTTTTCACTGAAAACTGAATTACCTTTACTTTCATGATCGGGAATTTTTTCAAATAATAATTACCTGGTGATCTTGAAAGGTAAAAGGCCAAAAAACCCCTTTTTCTATAAAAATAGATTTTTGATCTTTAAAATTTTGATGTAAATTTTATCACAGGAAATTCTATTATAAACTATTGTTGTGCTGAAAAGACATAAAAAAAACTTGTTATTGTTTATAGAAGAATCTGGCCTGGGCGATGGGAAATGTATCTTGTAGATTGCTTCCGTTGGCTTGTTGCTCAGTTTCATGGTCGATTGGGTCGATTATGCTTTCTGATTGCACTACATCTCACCGCCATAGAGAAACTATATACATTTTGGCACTTTTTCTGGCACTCATCCCCGGCCTGGCAGTCCGCCCAGGTGAAAAGAATATGCGAACCGGTTTGCGGTTTGAGGTGTTCAGGTAGAGCAGCCCTCGTATGTCTTACATAGATATGAGTGGCAGAATGTTGTTGGTGAAATGTTCACTTTTTTTTTTTTTTTTTATTTATGGCTTATCTTTGGCACTACACAATTGTTATCGAATCGCCGAGCACGACTAACTTGTCCAAAGACATTGGCCCGGCCCACGCAATCGGGCAATCAAAGTTCGGTGTTGCCACCAAACAGACAAACAGTCAAAACAAACACACCCTGCTCCTGGTATTGCAGGGATTGCAATCTGACCCGACTCGACCCCCAAAACCCATTCAATTGGCGCCTTAAACCAACAAACTTAGTGGACAATAGCGAGGACAAAATTAAATTCGAAAATGCGTCATTATGGGATATGGAGCACAGTTTTTGGGGTAGGGAATGGTGTTTATAAGAAAACAACCCTTGAGGGGAAGTTCTAGCTGAAGGGCTTCCATTTAATTTTTTTAAGAAGAGTACTATTATTATTACTTATTGCTTATTAATTTATTCTTTAGGAATTACTATAAATTGTGAAATTGTTTGGGATTTTTTCATTTTAATTCTATAATAAGTCAATTAAACATAGTAATAGCCCCCTTGTATCTTTAGTCTTTCTCTCTTGAATTTAACCTTTCTTCTCTGATACTCTTGGCAAGGCTCTCAGGTGAAACAGTCGCCCACGCAGTCGTTCTAAATGTAACGTCAAATTTCGAATGCATTAGATTAATCTGCGGCTAATGAGACAAATTTGAGGCACTACTAATTGGCAACGGCGGTCGCAACAGCTGCGCCAACTGCTGCACTTTCAAGATCCCCCCACCAGATACAGATACAATCTCGCAGATACAATGACAATGGCATTGACCTTGAACTTGTGCGGACCACTACTATGTGCACTAGCTTTGCTTTCTTTGCGATTTTCCCGTTTAGCTTAGCCGATTGCATTATCTATGGCCCACAGCAATTTGAATAGAAAATTGAGTCGAGAACGGAAGTTCCACTGGCTGCCAGTCATACTCACTCCTCCCCCACTCTGACTCTGATAGTTTCCCGCTTTATTTTTATTTTTCATTCAATTTGCTGCTACCTTTGAGAGCTCAAATTGCGAAGCTCGCCGAGCACTTGGCAGGTGCGCAGCCAGGCAGGCGGAGGCCGACAGGTGCATCAGCGGGAAATTACAGAATTACGCGGGAGAGGAAAGCGCTAAAAGTGAATTATTGAGAGTTGGCTAAAATAAGTGCACTCGAAGGTGACAGTTGCCCAAGACAGTGGGTGCGATAAGTCTATGTATGACTGTGATTTATGAAGTTTCCCCTCCATTAAAAGGTCATGTTTATGGAGGAGTTTCATTAATAACCAAAGGCCTTAACTCTCAAGAGTTAGCTTAACCCTCAGTCCTAATAACTCTGCTAATATTGATCATAGACGATTATAACCATGACTGACATTTAATTTCAAAAACTTTGTAAATTGTTGGCAACACCCCTCCTGTTTGTAAAACATTAAAAAAATAAAGAACCATATTTACGACCTAATTATCTTTGAAGCAAAAAAAACTGAATACATTTTTTTAGAGTTCTTTGAAAAGAACTCTTTTGGGGGGGAAGAACACCCAGTCACTTTGTATTTGCGTTTGCCTATTGTTTACAGTGGGGATTGGGATGGGGATGGGCCATTTATCAACTTTTTGCACTCACTGTTTGTGCACTTTCAGCTTGTTTATCGAGTTCGCCCACGCCAACGACCTCAACCTACGACCTGCGACGGGAAACAGTGCCAGTCTCAGTGTCTGTTGTTGTCACCCTTCCCCCAGGCATCTTTTTCGCATCCCACACATGAACTGGCTATGAACTTTTTTTTGCATTTTTTTTTCCGCCCTAGAACAATAAAGTTGCTTCATGACGATGGAAATTCTATTTGTGTTTCTTCATGAGAGTGTGAGTCTGGGCTGGGATGTGGCACTGCAAACAAAGTTTTGGCATTCATAGATGAATGCCAGGGACTAATTAAACGATAATAAAACGTAAATAAAACGACAAAAAATACAAACATTTTATGGTGTTGCCGCCACCCACCCACCAAAAAAAACCCCACCAACCGCCACCCATATCAGCAGCACCAAAAATTATTGTCACGAATACATTAAAAATCACTCAACCGTTGTCTCGTGTGCCAATTTTGCAAAAAAAAAAAGAGACATCCTCCTCCCATCACTCCCCCCTTGGCCATTTAAAATTTTGTGTTCATTTAAATCACATAAAAATCAAACAAAAAAAAAAAACGAATATAAAAGCCAGTTTCTGGATATTCTATTACGGGTTCTGTTCTTTGTCTCTCGAATTTGTGTTTATGTTAATTGATAAAGTTTTATAACTTTTTAATGAAATAGTCCAACGAAACAAATCCTAAAAAAAAGCAGAACCAGTAACCTTGAAATGGTTTTAGTTTCAAAACCTTTTAGGTTTAAAATAAAATGCAAAAAAAAATATATTCTCTGATAAGTCAATAAAACTTTGGTTATCATTAGGTTTTAAGTTTCAGATAAAATACGACTTAAAGTGTCATAGTTTCTATGTAGAGACTAACAAATACCCTTAAAAAATATTATATCATTTTAATTATACCAATTTAATTGCCTATTAATGTCCAGGTCAGTTTTAAAATTAATATTTAATAGCCATTTTGATTGAGATTTTATTTTGTCTTGAAAATGCTGTTAATTTAACAATCCACCTCATAAATCATTCATACGCCGAATTCCTTAAGTAAACGTTTTAATTTTTTTTTGTTTTATAATTTTTTAAAAACAAAATAAAGACATCCGATAATTTATGCAAAATGGTCATAACTCAAAGCGACAGAGGAATTTGCTTTAAAAAATAAAACAAATAGAAAAAAATCATGTCTTTTTTTTAGGCTGATTTGACAAATGACAAAAATAATGATAATACCAGTAGCCACCTGTTGTGGGATGGTTAGAGAGGTACAGGGGGAAGTAGGGGGAAGTAGTCGCTTTATAAAGGTGATTATTATTGTCCATTCCCCCCCTCAGCCGATCTGACAAAACAGCTGTTAACTGTCATCAGTTGAGATCAGAGATCATGCAAATTAGTCGGGAGATCCGAATATTAAGAAATTAAAAATTCATAATTTTTGAAGAGTTCGTGGAAAAGAATTCAAGTGGCATTCCTCCGACCAGAGGCGTTTAATTGAGACTTATGAGGGGAAAACAAACAATTATGCCAGTTTTGAATACCAAGAAAATGGAGTGGGGTGGGTGGGTATTTGAAGATGAGTTCAAGAACCTTGCTGTTTTGCCACAAAGGTCAGCTTGAATATTTGGATAAAAGGAGCAAGTAGGTTGAGGATCATAATAATGGGCGAAGAGGAGTGGGTGTGTGGGGGGTTGGGGTAATTAGAGCCAAGAGGACAGCGTACAATGGTCATGACATGTGGCAGGCGACAGGCGACGGGCGCCACACGGCTATGGGGAAATCGCGTGTCTTGGCCGCTCCCAGCTGTGAAAAATGGGTCGCGCGTGACAGCCGAAATGTGGCCAGAAGGAGGGGGTCAGGACCCAGTCAAGCCGCCCAAATCCGGCTAAAATCAATAACAAACACGTAAATACTTAAGCCCCTGCTCAGACTGAATCAGCGAATAAAGAAATCCGGCCGCACTCTTAAAGATATTTCACCAAAAAACGTAACAGTTGAAATACACAGAAAAAAATACAAAATATTTAATATTAATACCATTGTCTAACCCTAAGACCTTTTATCTAAGACAAGCTTGTCATCAGAAATATATATTTTTAAAGAACTTTTTATATCAAAGTGTCAAAAAAGTGATATGATACTAAAAGTAATATGAGTCTCAGTGCAAAAATTGGCAAGAAATCCGCCTGCCAACCTAGTTTGGTATGAGGTGTGTGGGCCGGATCTTACAGATGCTTGGCCAAAAAAACATCATCGATAAGTTCGGTTAAAAAAATGTCAATCTCCAGCCGTCAAATAATAAATGTTTTGGGATGCATCGAGCATTCATTAGGAGGATGGTTTCTGCATATAAATTACCAGACCTCACCGGCAAATGCAATAAATCTTTCCTCCTATAAATTAAATGAGATTCAATTGGCTTTGCTGTATTAATTAAAGACATTTTTGTCATCTATTGGTTTCGTTTAATGTGGATATAATGCACTTTTAAGCAGTTACATGTCGTTTGTTACATTGATTGTGAACAGCTATCTCTATATACAGACATTAAAAAGTATCGAGGTAAAATATTTCCATTAAATAAAAGTAAACATAAAACGTTATTGCACAGCAGCAGCTTATAAATAAGAAATAAATGAATAAAAATACTTAACATAGGTAATTGTACATAAAGGAACATATAAAGTGGCAAGTATACACACACACACGCAGAGAATTGGTGTGGCCGGAAAGTACAAAAGATCCGAGAGTAAAAGTATATATATCACACACACAGTATAGTTGATCGACTAACACACACTTAATATAAACGGCCTAATTAGGCCTTGATCTTGCGGCCCAGCTTTTGGATGCCATATTTGTGTCCCTCGCGGCCGGAGGAGCCACTGCCGCCACTGCTGCCATGATGGTGAGACTTGTGTTTGCCCAAGCCGTTGGACTTTGTGCGCGTCTCGAACAGGACATCGGAATCGGTTTCCGATTCAGTCAGCGATGTGTTACGGGAATCTGCGAAAGCCATAGAGATGTTATGGTTATTTTAATCTGAGTAGATGCTCTATGTACTTACAACCAGCTGCCTCCTCATCCTGGTTACCTATCAGAGCATACTTTTGCACTTTTTGGCGCTGACGTGGCTTTTTCGACTGACGGCAGGCGCAGGCAATGCCCCAAAAGACCCCCGACAACAGAAGACAGCCCACAATGACTCCCACAAACACGTAGAGGATAGACCAATCTGAAATAAGACCATCAATGGATATTAAACACTATCCAATACTCCACGATTATATAGTTACCGCAATTGGCCTCCTGATTGTTGAAGAAGAACCCAGCCGAAGGCATCCAGAAAGCCTCACATATGCAGGCTCTTGTGGTGGGATTACAGCTGCCGTGACCGGAACAGTTGTTTTGGCAAACCGTTGTGCGTATGTCCACAAAAAGGGCACCCAGGATCGAGGCATCCTTTTGCAGCTGGGCCCTCAACTGGCGCTCCACATGCAAGCCATCGACAGGCTTTCCGTTGCCATCGTTGACATAGAAGACCAGAACAGCCGCCCCCGTATGCAGGTCATAGTTAAGCTCCCTGATCTGGATTTTGTTCTCATCTCCGAGTAACAGCTGCAGTTTCTGCACCACCGAATCCAGCTCGGATTGGGAGAGCACTGAGATGCCCATGGGCAGGGTCATTTGGACGAGGTGCATCAGCATGGGATCGGGATGGACGTTCACGCTGACCGTATCCGAACTGGTTAGACCCTGATCATCACTCACGGTCAGCTTGAACACATAGCGTCCATTGACGAGGTTGGTGAGCTAGGAAGGAGTAGTCTTGATTAGGATCAGTTGGGTTAATTAACCTAAAGTACCCACAATCATCACTGGTTGCTTGTCGGTGTCGGCTACAATGACACCAGCTGCCAGGCTGTTGTCCTCCCGCGTCCAGGCATACTTTACAACCGCCAGGTCATCCCAGGATTTGGAGCCATTGAAGTAGATTGCAGTGGCCGGCAGGGTGATGCTGTGATCACCACCAGCATTGGCTATCGGAGGTGCATTGCGTTCTTGTACTATCTTCACCCAGGTGGTGTCAGTGGCGGTGTTGTTATTCTCATCCGAGACACTCAACTCGAACTGGTAGAGGCCCAGCGTCAAGGAAGTGGCATTTGCCATCTGTTGGTGGGGAGACCATGAGAGTTGGATTAACTTTATGAAGTCCCTGAGCCCATTAGTTACTCACCGAAGAGTTGGACTTCAAAATGACAGCGTTGTTGGGGCCACTCAACTGCTTCCATAGATAGGATTTGATGCCTATATCATCCTTAGATTCAGAGCCATTGAGAAGCACCCAGTTGATGGGTAAGCTAGTCGTCTGGAAGAAAGGAAATATAGGTAACTCTCAAGTTAACTCTTCATCCAAAACAAAGCTTACCGAATTGGCACCCGCGTTGGCAACTGGTGGAGAATTCGTTGGAGGCTTCACAAAGACATGAACCTTGGCCGTACTAGACTGGCCACTGCCATCAGTAACCTTCAGAACAAAGGTGTACATGCCCTCCTCCAGATTGGATAGCTGGACGTATGGAGTCCTGGTATTTTGCATATCCACAGCTTTGGCCTCGTCACTGGCGTCCTTTGTCCACTCCCATGCCACGATCTCGTGGTCGTCAGAGCTGGCCGTTCCATTCAGAGTGACATTATTGTTCGGCAGATAGAGGATGACGGCGTCTCCAGCATTGGCCACTGGAGCATAGTCGGTTTCCTTCAGCACTGCTATCGTGGCCGTTGTGGAGTTGGTGATGTTGTTCGAGTCGGTTACGGTGAGCTTGAACGTGTAGTTTCCCGGTGAAGTGAGATCTAGCTGGAGGGTGTTAACCTCGGGCAGCACTGGCTGATAGCCGATGGGCCCCGAGATCACCTCCCAGTGCCAGTTGGTGATTTTGTCGTCATCCGTGCTTGTGCTGCCATCTAATATGGCATTTGTGGTGGGCTGCCGGATGATCTGCTCCCGGGGAGAAATAATAACCTGTGGCGGCTGGTTGATGCGGTTCTCGGGAAGCACTGTCACATTGGCCGTCGCCTCGCCAAAAGTTCCATTGTCGCCCGTTACGGTGACCTTAAAGGTGTACAATCCCTCCGAAAGGTTCGATAGCTTCACCTTGGACTTGCTCTGGTCGGAAATGGTGCCGTTCATTGGTCCCTTCGGCTGGGAGATCAGTGTCCAGAGATATTTGTACTTGGTGTTGCTGGTTTGCTCATCGGGCACCGTGAAGGCAGCTAGTGTCACCTCCTGCTCCGGCAGGCGAACCTCCTTGGACATCACCGACACCACGATGTCTTTGTTTTGCTCCGTTTTTGAGGGGGAGGACGATACCTCTGGCGAATTGTCACTAGCCGCCGTTTCTGGCTGCACGACCTCGTTGCTGGTGAGGTAGGAGCTGTACGGAATGGCCGCCATCACGCACTTACGCTGCTTGTTCCACACAAATCCATTCGGACAGGTGCAAACTCCCGTCACAGCATTGGCCTGCAGGGGCACACACTGTTGGGGTGGCGGGCAGGGATTCTCGATGTCGCAGGCAGTGAACTTCGAATTCTGATCGTAGTAACCAAGCTCCCCATTGGCCAGCACATCAGTCTCGTCCGGTTGGAGGATCATCTGGCTATTCATTCGTTTGTCGGCCAAGGGGAAATCCTCGTCTTCGTAGGCAGGGGATTCCTAAAAAGGTCGAAAGGTAAATTATTATATTTTGATGATTGATGAGATGGTTTCTTTACCTGATTTCGTGACGCTAGGTATCCCAATCGCCTGGGCTGCTTCCAGAAATTCAGGGCTGCCTCATCGTACGGCAGGATCTCGGCATTCTGCTTGGCTGCCTCTGCTTTCAGGAGCTGGGGCCAGGAGGCCTCGCCCACTGGGTTGACCAGCACCATCTGAACCTTCTCGTTGGCCAGTCGAATCCGCTGCTTGGGCAAGCAGCCATCATCGTTCTTGCAGCGGATGTGGTAGCACTTTCCCTTGAAAACCAGTACCACGTTGCAGGGAATGGTGTGGTTGCGCTTGTCGCAGCAGGCCTGAAGGCAGTTCCACAGGTACGCCTCCTCCTCGATGGGTTCCGCGCTGTCCGGTGACGGTTTGTATTCCTCAAAGACTCCGGCCTGCTGTTCGTCCCGCGGTGTCGCATTCTCGAATACGTGGCGCAGCATTCGTGGGCACACTCCCGACTGGGACAGGCTAGTGCCAGTTGCCGCTTCCGATGTTTCTTTGTGCTTCTTTCCCAGTAGCAGGGCATTTTGCGTGGTAGCACCTCCACCACCACTGCCACCCGTGACGTCGGCATATGCTGACGCCATCCAAGCGGCCAGCAAAAGCCAATTGAAAATCCGACTTCCTCCTATGGCCATCTCCAATGTAGTAACCGCCTTTGAATAAACTGGGCCTTGCCAAAGTTCAGAGAATGGCGAAAATCACTAGCAAAACACCAGAACTGCAATTTTTCTTCTTTTTCGCCAGCGCACAACAAAAAAAAACCAATTCCTCCAGCTGACAGCTGATTTATGAAGCAGTGTTGTAAGTGGCCCTCAGTGGGGGTAACAGAGATAGATAACAGTGGTGTCATTTCCGCTTTTTTCCCGTCAGATCTGGGTTTTTTTGAAGCGTGATTGCGGGAAAAATATGAAAACAGCGGGCAGCGGGAATTCTGGCTTTTTGAGCAAATTTACGCAGCTTTTTTTTTTTTGTTTACAGTTTGATGCATTCTCTGTTGAAAATATTTTAAAAATCAAAAAGAAACAAATCTCTCCAATCCTTGAGTATTTTGGTACTCCTAATATAGATACAATTTAACGACTGTACGACATAACCATGGTAGAGTGGGAAAATGTCGATGATACTGTTAAGTTCTGGGCTGAAGTTCTTAAATATCGGGATTCTGGCGGAAACTGCCGTTTTCAGGAATTGGCTTCAGTTGCTCTGCAAATGCAGTCCTGCCTTGGTCGAATGCCGACGTCGAGCGGTTATTCAGCCAAGTACATTTAATAAAAACGAAAATTCGAAATCACATGAGCGTTGAAACATTAAACGCTATACTGATTATAAGGTCCATATTTTAATTTGTATCTTAAAATTATAAATTAATTTACTTAAAATTTGAGGTACGGGCTGCGTCGACACAATATGTGCTGTTTTAACTATAATATACCACCCAGCTGCCTATCTACAATTGAAGACAAGAAATTTTATCCAACTGATGATGATGATAATATTGACGACATCTTAAATATAATATAGATCTTAATTTTTGTACATTATTGTTTTTTTGTGGTTTCTTGTAATGATATCCGTTAGAGAATTACCCATATATTTTATGTTAAGTGGAACTGAGGTCTTATTAGTGAATAACATGCAGTACGTTGCCTTATAAAAATCAGTTTTTTTCTTAACTTTTTTCCTCTGGTATTCCGCTTTTTTTAGCTTTTTTTTTTCGTTGATCCAGCTTTTTTTGCTCAGAAAAAAGTGACACCACTGATAGATAACCTGGGGGAGTGTTGGAGGTTGCCCACGGAATAGAGCGTTAGATAAAAAAAACTGGAAAAAGCTTGGCGGGAAAGCTTTCTTTGTTGGCTTGGTAACGGTCTTTTAGCTCAACCTTTTTAAGGCCTTTAGACTTCATTTAAATAAATGGGACATATTGATTTGCTAGGATAGGCCTAGGACGTGTAATTGGAGGTGTAAATGTCTTGGAGGCAATGAAAATTATATATTCAGAAGATAAATTATTTTAAAATTAGTTAGGGAATTTAATTTATATTTTAAATACTCTTATATTTTATACTATTTTAATAACAAAAGTCATCATAACCTAAACACATTTATTATCTTTCGAGAATTTCACAAAAGTGTGAAATCAAACATAAAATAATCTCGTGAAATGACTAGATTTTGGTTTCTTTAAAGAATACTATTATTATTTTTTTTAAGCCGCTACTGATATTACCATATATAGACGCTACTACCCACACACAGCCCATACCCAATCCATTCTGATTTAAATAAGTTATAAACACGGCCCACGCGCCAATCGAATTTCGCAAATCGAGAAATACTATTGCAGAAAAAATTAATTACCTTCCAGGGGAATACGTATAAATCACTGCATTGTATTTATGCAAATCGTTAATTGCAAAACACGCCAAAGCAATACAAAGAACATAAATCAACTTGAATTGACCGAATCGAACCAGACCCTGAATACGAATCTATTTCCATTTGAGTCTTCTATTTGGTTTGGGGCTTCGGACTCTGAAAATCCTCTGAAAGTCTCGTTATCTCAACGCATAATTTTCACGGCCTTTTTGACAATTTTTATGACCAGCTGGTTGTTTTATCTAAAGCTGTTGCATTAACTAGCTTAATAAAATATTGATTAGAGCCATGGGGCTAGTAGTGCACTGTGAGAGAAAAATGGTATTCCTGCAAAAATAATAGTACTTTTCTGGTATGTGAGTGGTTTGTTTGAATATATAATTATGTAGTTAAGTTAAGGGGAAGTTTACAATTTCTATTTATTTTTAGTGAGAGAGGGATTAGTCACTGATCGTATACTTTACCATATAAGGGAAAATATATCCCATGATAAGACTGATTCATTTCTAACCATATCTTTCTTTTATTTCTCAGATGACAGACTTCTCGGATAGTTCGCCGAGCGGAGTGCTGAGTGGGGCCACATCTCTGATCGAGAATTTCCACAAGAAGAACGGCTCACCCCAGCCCACTAGCACCACCACCATGGTGACGCCCGCAGCCTTGAACGGATCTGTGGTGGGTGGTGGAGTGGGTGGCGTGGTGGCCGGCACGACGAATGGAAGGCAGATTAATACCAGCTCTAGTTCATGCAGTAGTCTTAAGGAAACCTCACACCAGTCCACATCCACTTCGCAACAGGTGAGATATGATTGATCAATAATACTTGAAAGTGTTTAATGGATCAGAAAATAAAAGTTTCTTATAGGGGCTTGAACCATTGGATGGTCTGACCAAAAAGTACCCTTTCGAAAACCACTCAAGAGTTAATTTTGACTGATTTTTTCATTGAGCATAGTCAGAGATTCCAATCCGTAGCAGCTCACCCCGACTTCAAGTGCTCGATTAGACAAAATAAATTCTGACGCAGCTCTGGTCATCAGGTTAGATATCGTAACAGAGGAGTATGGCATCGGAATCAGGTAGAGCTGGCTGGCATAATGTCGCTATTTTTAAAGCATTAACTAAGGAAGCCCCTCCTAATCGAGGGTACCTTTCTGTATTGTTACTGTTTCACCGATAACTCTTGAGGTTAATATGTAGTTGATAAAGGAAAAAATGCCCACACAGCTCTGACCGATCAGCTCTGTGCCCTTCTATGGCGACACCTGCCTCCCACCAAAGCACCCCCCCTTTCAGGCCCGCCTCTGATTAGATTAGTCTCTGGAATTTCATAGAACCATTGACGGCGACAGTGAGGCTGTTGGGGAAGGTATTAATCACTTATTTATTATTTGCCCGGCTTGATTGAGTTATAGGTACATAAATACACACTTAAGTAATTGCCAAACAGCTAAACAGCCGAGAGGAGACACAAGGCGATGAAAAACGTGCCAGCACAAGTGTTTGACAATTTTATAATGACCTGTTAACAACTTGTTTATGCCGTTTTTTATGATTCAACCAGATAAGATATGAGTTGGGTATTCACCGGAATTTGCATAGCCATCACTATAGTTTTTATCTACAAGTTTTCCCGCTGTTACTTCGATAAGGCGGTTTTCAATCAGATAGTCTATCACTCAGATAGTTGGCACTCTCTGGCCCCGACAAAAATAGATACTGACCCATTTGAAATTTCAATTTCACGTTTTACAAAAATAACCATTGATAGATTGGCCATGGAAAGTTTGGAAGCATTTCTCTGGCAACGAGTTCATCAAGACTTGACCACTCATCTATTAGAAATAGACCCTGACTTGATCTATCGTGGGTTTCTGTCATAAGTGTTCCGTTTATTAAACTAGTAATAGTATGACAGTTTAGTTAGATAGTCACTTTTGTATATAGTTTTTTTTAATTTATTTTAATTTATGATTCAGTTTTACAAGCTACTTCCTGAAAGGGATTAGGTCTCTAGACATCTTTAGACAAATGTTTGGACATCTTTCCGGATAAAGTAATTAAATATTTACTAAAAGCAAATTTATTATTAAATAGGGATTCTTAACTGTGTATTTTAGACTTAAAATATGCTTCATAATATATTTATAAGAAAGGTTAAAATCTAATTTTCATAAAAATGCAATACTCAAGTTTTTTTCTTTGTTTTAATTTTATTTCCTATGTATTTTTAAGTATCTACTTAGTAGATATCGCATATATCCAGCCCTACTGTTATAGGGTATGGCCATAAAAATAAAAAGCACACTTCCACAGACGACAGCCCTCCTATTGACTCGCTTTAAATGGGAGGCTGAGTCACTTGCCGGCTGCCGGCGAAGTGTGCCTCCTCCATTGAATTCGACGTCAGCAGCGGCAGCCGGTGCCTCCGCTTTTTAAATATGAACAAATACATATAAATATATACCCACATATATAGTTGAATTCTGCCCCCTATTCGGGTTTTGCGATCCGAGACTCGCGCTGATTTTGATGGTGGGGCGATTGTTTGCTCGTTATCTGTTTACATCCTGGTTGGGTCTGTGATTGTACCGGACCAAGTGGCCCAAGTTCAACAAGCATCATCACTGATTGTTATATGTATGACTTCCTCCCCTCGACAGTTCAAGAGTACTCGTTCCACACAATATTTTCATTCATATTGAATCAAATTAGAACCAGCCACAGGTTACCTTTGGTTTCGCCGAATTGGTTTTGTGTCGTCAGTGGCTAGGTCTTTCAATGAATTGTTGTGAGTGGTGACAGTTTTGAGTTTTCTGGGGAAAAAAGCTTTATTTTAGATGGGTTAGCCAGCCAATTGGGCGATATGATGGCCCATTCGCAGAATTGGTTGAGGTAAACTAGGAGAATTATGACTACACGGGTATCTATAACAAAACTATTATTAAATTTCAAAGAAAAAAAATTAATAAATCACTTGATATGCATTTATTTTATTGCCCTAATGATCATTTAAATAATATAGAAGCAAAGCAAATTTGCTGAATAATTACACATAGATTAACACCCAATTATTCAAATATTAAATTAAAACAAAACAAAGCTATATAAGAGCCCCCTGCCGCCCCATAAACACACACATACATAAACCCTGTTGGGGGAAAAAAAGTACCCGTTGTGGTAATCAGAAAAGTAAACAACGCAAATTGAAATGAGCAGAACGAGATACAATCTCTAACAAGCTAAAATCAGAAAATCAAATGAAAAAAATGAAAAAAATATCGATGGAAGCTAAGAACGCGTTAATTAGAGAAGCAAAGCTTAAAAAGCTTAAACAAAAACGTGAACAGAACTGGGCTTAGCGGCTGAATTATGGGAATGCAAATTATTCACTGCATAAATTAAAGATTAGGCGAAGGG